AATATGCAGAGAGAGTGTGTCATTATATTTATTAATAAATATTTTCTATTTTTAATTTCCTAACTAGTGCCATCATTTTTTCTATTAATTATGTATTGTTAATGAAAAATATACAATTAATAAATGATAGTTAATAAATAAAGACTTAGATTTAATTTTTATTATTGTCATTATATTATTTTCTATTAAAAAAATAAATTTACATTCTTGCTTGATGTGATTAGTTTAATTTTTTAAATTTGTTTAATATGTAAGAATTATGATGACAACAAATTTAAATTTAAAACTTTTTATATATTATTTAAACTCTCACCAGTGTTTCGTACTCATCATAAATAAACATATATTTGAAGAGTGGATTGAGGGGCATTAAACAAAAGTAGTGACCTACGATAACAACTGTTTAAGATCTCCAAATTTGGATTTAGCCCCAAATACACAACAATTCACATTTTTTTTTCTTTAAATAATCTCAAGTATTGTTCGGTCGGCAACATCGTGTAGGTGAACATCTGTATTGTAAGGGTTCAAATCCCACAAATAATCAATTAGGTGAAATCTCCATTGACCTTTGAATTTAAATAAACCATGCTTGCTTCAGCAAGAAACTCCCATTTCTATGATTACGTTAATGCACCACATCCATTGCAAATATTGAGTGTGAGAGAGATAGGATAGGAGACTAAATCTCAAAGAACTTGGTAAGGTGTAAGTGGCACATTGCAGGCCGTTTGACCATCATGTCCAATAATTAACTTCATGACATAATGACACATCTTTGTTAAACCAAACCAAGGATTAGGTGCCCCCACCAAGCAACAATTAGACTTCATAAGGACCAACGAATTGGAATTTTGCATGATGACACTGTTTGACTGTTCAATGTTCATACCTTTTTATCCCTTCTAAGAAGAAAGTGAGGGGAAGGTTATAAGTATCATGGCACAGTCATTCTGCAAGTGCTCTGTCTATTGATCGCCATTGATTCATTTGATTGTTTCAGAAGTACAGGTATTTGAGAATTGGTATGAAATGTACAATACACTCATTACACTGAGAATCAAATATTTTAAGCATGAAATTTATAGAATTAGACATCCATAAATAGTTGATAACAACTCAATAGTTGGTGAGATGATAAACTCAATAACATTGAATAAAATAAACTCTAATTTCATTTTAATAACAAAAGTTTTAAGTTTAAGTCAATCTTAAAAAACCGACTTTATCACTCGGGAATACTATATTACCAAAAGTTCCCAACTTTAATTTTCTAAGATGGGAAAGGAGAACACTATTTTGATGCCAAACACTAAACAGCCAAAACTGATATTCTGAATGATGTGTTTCTCCTCTTTTTTGACTTGGTTCTGATTCTTAAATGATAAATAACCACCACAAAATTGGAATGGCTTTAATAAGGGAAGAAAAATCGAAATGGGACATTCTGCATGACAAGATTTAATGATCACAAGTGTGTGTCACGGGCAGCATGAAATTGCATTCCAGAAAGTGGAATCCAACTGCATGAATCTGATTCCTAGTTCCCAGGGTATATTGCAGAGACACGAGTGTGAAACACAAGTTACAATTACATGACAGATTGACAGGCCTCATGAGACAGTATAGTCGTGACTATGAATGACTTTTCAATAGTTGTAATAGCCACAAAAATGAAATTGTGAAAGGAACAAACAGAATCGTTCAAGTCTCAACATGAGGACAGTGTTTTGCTACAGTAATAAGTAATAACAAAGGCTCAGGTCCAATGGTGTAACAAAAATCCTTTAGCATATGTTCTTTATTAATTGGCCTGAAAATATGTTGTAACATGAAAGAACATTAGGAATGTGACAGTATAAATGGATCTTTAAAAGATAAAAAATAAATAATTAAATGTGCATAATTTCTTTATTCTTTAATGTACAGATAAATACTTTCCTTTAAAGTGTATATATTTGTGCCCACTAGTACTTATAACTTGAGTTAGTTAAATATAGCTTGAGTTAAGGATGATTTTCCTTTTCAATAATATAAAGACTCTTAGTATGGTTTGTACTCGTAGAATTCAAAGGCATGATAACAATAATATGCAGAGAATGTAATTTTGTTTTTATTTCTTATATACTAAAGATAATGATCAATAAATTTATTAAGAGAACGAATGAAACGCAGGAATTGAATATTATTATTCATTAGTCTTGTGGAAGGAGAATATTTTTATTAAAACACACTTTACTTTCTATTCATAAAAGATCACATCAATCCAATTGGTGTATTTTTACTTTCTATTCATAAAAGATCACATCAATCCAATTGGTGTATTTAAGAAGAATCCCACTTTTTTTTTTTTAATGTGGGATGATGTGATCATTCATTAATTCTACCTGATGTTTTATTTTATGTTTAAATACTTTCTTTGTCCTTATAAATATTTCGCTTTTAGTCTTTTTAATTTTATATTTCTACCTGATCTTTTTGGTTTTTTATCCTTACTCTCGGTCTTACAAAAACGCTTGTGATTTCATGTAAGCATGAGCATCTAACATGAACGTAATAACATCTAATGAAGCTACGCAAGCATTTTATGCCTATTCATATATGAATAATCATGTCACTACATTTGTTGTTTATTATATTTATGTATTAATATGTTCTTTAATCCATGTATTTATAACTTTATGTGAAATAATTTTTTTTATACAAATAAATTCATAGGATATTGACGTTTACAATAATGTACGCATGTTTGATAAATTAATTGGACTAGATTTCTTTAACTAGTTATGTGAAATATTGTAATTATTAAATGAACTAAAATAACTATTGGGAAAAAAATTAAGTCCTGACTAATGGTAAATCTAAAATTTGATGATGAAACTAGTAGAGGAGAAATTTGATGTATCTTCTAGACTAATTTTATTGATGTTCCAATTTTTCATCAATAAAATTCTAAACTTGAAAGCAACTTGAAAAATGGTGAAGAGGCAAGGAGAACAGCATGCCACTTCATTTAGGAAGATAAGCAAGAAATAAAGACCTTGTTACAAGAAAAAAAATTATTTGATAATGGAGAACTAAAGCTTTTGAGTATAAGAAATTGAAAATACAATTTATTCATCAATCAAAAGTGATGCACATAGTAGAGAAGGATTCTATAAATAGAGTTTGGTAACTTGTAGTGCAAGATATAACTTAAGTTAGATTAACTTATACTCAAGACTATTAACTATTACAATTTGAAATTTAAATTATGCTCTTAAAAATGTTATTGTCCTAGATTTAGAAGAGTTAATAAAAGTTTGTCATATAACAAATCATAAAAAGTGTGACTCGTTTCAATATTCTAGATCTAGAAGTGTTAATGGAAATTTACCACATGACAAGATATAAAAAATGTAACTAAACAAGATCATGTGACTTATTGGAGACTTGAATGGTCAAGAGAACACTTGGCAAGCACATGGACTACACGTCCAAATGAGTTATAATGGATCATTCAAGTTCAATAAGTACAAAATCTCATTTTTTTAGTACGCCTCTCGCCCTCCCCTTTTCCTTGAAAAAATATTACTTAACCTCTAAAAAGTAAACAAATAAATAATTTCTTATATTAATTAATCCAAAATATAATTTCAAAATCAAGAAAATATATACTATTAAAAGTATACAAATATAATAAAGTACACTATTAAAAGTGACATAAAACTCAATAAAAACTTGATCCTTTTTTCTTAAAGTCTAGCTCACTCACGTTGATTTCTTTTGAACTCACCCTAGGCATGATGTAAACAATTAGATAAAACTCTTATTTTATAAAAAAAATTATATATGAGGAGGGATCTGTTTATTCCAAGAGTAGAGTAAGTTTACCTAGACTTATTCTGTTTAATAATTTATGTTCTACATCAAATTTTAACAATGAATTTAAAATTCTTAATGCATAAATCAAATATGTAAATTTTTAAACAAATTTGAAAATCATTTGATATATCGTTTCATTAATTCAAATCAATGTATAAAATGATTTTATAATTATTCGTCAATTTGAATTAATAAAATGAAGTATCAAATGATTTTCAAATTTTCTAAAAATTTGCATACTTGATCTATGCATTAAGAACTTTAAATTCAATAGTTGAATCGTTGAAATTTTATGTAAAACATGAGTTATTGAACAGAGTAAACAGATCCCTCCTCTTTATAAAATTTAGTAAAATTTAAATTCATATTCTAAAAATAGTTTAAGTGTTTATTTTAAATTCATTATTAGATTATCTATCATATTATCCACATAAGAAGTTCAATAAATGATTTAAAAGTCTA